GGAGTCCAGCTCCGTGTCGGCCAGAGGATGATGTTGATCTTGCGCAGCCAGAGGATGCTGAGATAAGAAGACCTGGGCCGGTTGACGAAGTTGCAGCTAGGTTACCTGATTTTTGGCCGATATATATAGCAGAAGATGCAGAAGTAGAGGCGGGCGGGAAAAGACATGGAGAAGAACAGCTAGTGACGCCAAGCGTGGGAGAAGTAGCTGCTGGTGTCGTAGGCGTGTCGGGGCCTGAATGAAGACACCCGCTTAAGAAACCAGCTGATCCTGAGGTTATATGCGAGTCACCAGCAGGAAAGGCACAGCCAAGAGAATAACTGGCAGAAGCTCCAGTTAATGCAGGAGAGAATGAGCCGGAAGAATTGGTTAAATGTCCCGATGGCATGATATTAGTGCCCGAAGTGGGTGTGGAGGAGCTTCGTGCAAGAAAAAGCGAAGACATAGGAGAAGTAACGGTTGATGAGTTGTTGGCAGCTATTGAATTAGTGATTGAGCTGGAAGACAGGACAGGATGTAGAGACCCTGATACTACCGAAATCGGAGGCTGGGGATCAGGAGCATTGTTAAGCAAATCAACCAACATTGATTCCTTTGAGGGTGCCAAGTCTTGTTCTGCAGAACAAATTGTAAAGCATGAACATACGCGTTAAAAAAGTTAGGACGAGAAGATAAATAAGATACTAAGGTAGACAGAAGCAATGAATTAGGGTTATAGGCCAGTAGATAATAAATAAAATCAGTGAGCCAAAACAAACAGAAGTTATTTTCTGTCTATCCATTAAATTAATTACTTTTTATTACAAAAAGAATAATAAATAGTTAAAACAACCGCTATGAAATAAGAAATACAATATGTATTTTCACAAAGAAACGAATGATTTGATGCAATATTTGAGAAACGGGCACTAATAATTCTACTTTATTGTATATTAGCGGGAATCATTTACTAGTTCGCATATCAATAAAGTTTTGATGAGATCAGCAGCTGTTCAGAATGAATAAAAATTTGATTATTGAACAGTAAGCATGATAAGAATAAATTGCATGACTAAGCCTTATAGAAGTGGGTTGACCTCGTTGTCGAAACTTGGTCTTGTTGTCAGGGTGACTTAGTAGAACGCACATAGTCCAAAGTCGTCCGCCATAGTAGTTATCAAAATTCCCAGCATCAGACAGTAAACTTGGTACATTCTCATAAGCCTTTTAGTTTATCGAAAAAGTAAGTCTGATAAAACCTTAAGTTAAACTAAGCCATGTGACATGAAAACATAACTACAATGAAAATTGCAGCAAGAGACCATCTGAGTTGTTTGTAAAAGCAAGGACTCTACTACAGATCAAGTATTAGAAGCGAGATAAACCCATCAATGAGCTTCATTTGAATGTGTATAACCGGCTGATTAAGACGCATACCTCAATTAGTTAGAGTATAGGCAGTTAAATAAAGTAGAGACTCGTCCCTGCCGCAGAATTAAATATGCCAAATATCCAAAAATATAGTTCTCTTCGAGAGCCGACCTCGGTTTTTATCTCCTCTGGATTTCTCATCACTATCAGCAAGAATTGAAGTCAGAATGCACACAAGCTAGCTCATAGATAGTATCTCTCTAGTGTCATTGAAGCATAGATAAGTCTCAAAGTTATGATAATACAAGACTTCCTTAATTTGTATTTAAGTTTGAATGAAGAAATATGGTTAAAATGTATTTCTAAGCTAATCTAATCGGCAAAATAAGTCGACTCGTAAATTCATTGGGGATAAATAAAATCAACTATGTAATGTGCGCGACGACGCTTCACTCTCTACTGCACATTGTTTGTCTTTTAAAATGACTTAATAAAATAATGTTGACTATCTATCAGTCAATCTAAGTTAGTCATAACTTAAAATCTAATTATCACAAAAATCATGTATTCATTGGCGGAGCCCAGAAACATATGCTATAAGATAAGTAATTCATTTAAATTTTCGTAAAAGCTAATATGAGTTAGGCTATATATGAACTTTTTGATTCCTTACAAAGTACATTCTTGTAAAACGGTAACATAAATAAACTAGGGAAAAAGCCTCTAGCAGAAAGCTCTTTATAAGTAAAGTATTTTTTGTACTATTTAAATTTATACTTGACGGCAGAAAGTACTCAAATACCTTCATAAATATGTATAAGGATAATTAAATGACATTTCAAGTAGGACGAGAATAGGAGAAATAATCGCATTTAATGGATGTTAATAATAAGAGTTTCTTATATAAAAAAGGATGAAATTATGGCAGCTCAACTCTCTCTCTCTCTCTCTCTCTCTCT